GGAGATGAAGAAGGAGAAGGACGTGCTCGTCAACTACGTCACCTGCGGCCCCGACGGCAAGGTGCTGGAGCAGGTGCGCCGGCTCGTCGAGGAGGGCGTCATCCGACCCGACGTCGACCGCGTGTTCGACGACCTCGCCCAGCTGCCCGAGGCCCACGCGCTGCTCGAGCGCGGCGAGGCCCGCGGCAAGGTCGTCATCAAGGTCCAGGACCCGCTCACCGCCGCCGCGGCCGCCCACTGAGATCACCGCACACGCGTGCGCTTTGTGTTTCGAACAATTTGGAGAATGCGAAGTATACAATGCAGTGTGTGCGGTGGTGAGTGTGCGGTTGTTTGGGGATGTGGGGCATCAGCTCCCCTCAGCGTAGTAGAAGAACTGGGAGTAGTGCTTGGCCGCGCTCTCGAGGTTGAACAGCTCGTCGTCGAGCAGGGGATCGAGCAGGATCCTGGTCACCACGTCCGGGTCCGTCACGTACGAAATGACCTGCGTGTCCCGCGCTCGACTGTGAGCAGATCGCAGCAAAATAGAAATTATATAATTAAAATAAAGAACAATAAAATATATAAAAAAAAAGAAAAAGAAAAAGAGGGCGCTAACCTCATCGATCCTCTCGATGTTGCGGGGCTTCATGTGGGAGGCGAGCAGCCCCTTGAGACCTTCACCGGCCTCGGCCACGAACTGGCGCACCTCGCCCAGCTTCTCCCGTAGCACGTCAAAGTTGATGTCCGCTTGGTTGTCCTGCGCGCGGCGCACATCAACAACACACAATCCGGGTGAGCGACACGCGCGCGTGACACGATCACGGCCGCACACACGCGAGGCACGCAAACAAAGGGGAAGAAATCAGAGGGAACGTACCCGCTTGACGTGGACCTGGAACCGAATCTTGGAGAAGAGCACGAGCGCCTTACGGAAGGGGTTGTCCATCACTGCAACCATCCACAGGTGAGCAAATAATACGAGATAAAATAAGAAAAATAAGAAAACAGTGTTATCTTAAAAGGTGGCGCACCGGCCAGGTCCTCGATACGGAGCTTCTTATCGGACACGAGGAAATACATCTTGACACCGATCCTGTAGATGTTGTCCTCGATCCGATCTGGTAATTAGAGCAGAACACACGACACACGACACGACACACACGGCGTAAGGTTGGGTGTGTTGGCGCCATGCGCCCGCGCGTACGGGCAAAGCACACGCTCACGCACGCACCGGCTTTCTTCGACGATTTGGATTCCATCTGGATGATCGCCTTCAGCGCCGCGATCAGCTCGGTTATCTCTTTCGGGAGCTTGTTGCGGATTGCCCGCTTGCCTGAAAGTGAAAGTCTCAGCCAAACCGCACCAGAGCCCCACTTAGTGCGTGTGTCGTGTGTGTCGTGTCGTGTGTTTGTGCGTGAATGTACCGAGGGGCGAGGAGGCGGCCTTGCCGGCCAG